AAACTCCTTTCTCCCTATGTCTGTATCTTCCTTCTGATTTTTCATTCTCTCAACTGATTTGCTATTGATTTTTTTTTTTTACTTCTCTTCATTCATCTCTTACTTTTTTCTTCTTTTTTTTTTAACCCTGTCAGCTGTCTCCATCCTTAGCATAGCTTACAGCCATGCTCTGGGTGTGGGAGAGGAAGAGGGTAAGCAAGAGGGAAAGTAGCGGAAGAGGGTGGAGAGGAAGGCGAGGCACATAGTTGTGGCTGGCTAATTGAAAGCCAGCAGTTTGGTCAGTAAAGTCCCAACGTATGGGAGTGGTCAGGAATTTGCTAGCCTGGGTTTTGTGTGGATGTGTGTGTGTGTGTGTGTAATAAATCCAGAGCACATTTGTGTCAGTCTGAAAGTCTGTGGCCATAAAGATTGACAGATTGTGGGTGTTTTTGTGAGTGCCTGCACAATACCATTTCCCTGTTTGTGTGTGTGTTTCAGTCCTGCTGATGCTATTGTTCACAGTTATCACCACCACCTCTTTTAAATCTGCCTCTTTCCCTTTTCTGCTAACCTTTTTTTTCTTTGTCCAGTCAGCTGTGGTGTTCGTTCACAAGGAGTTAAGAGTCAGCAAAGAAAGAAAAGGTGGTATGGTTCAGTGGTCTTAAGAGAAATCATTCTTTGTACTGGTGAAGGATACTCGTTCCATCCCAGTTTACACAATCGCCTTTGTGTACTCTTATCCCCTTACAGGGTGAGGCGAGCAGGAGGACAATATTTACTGCTGGTATCCTCATTGATTTCTGTGGTATACACTACATGTTTCAGACATCCCACGCTTCACTGTGAACATGCTAGGGATGCAGTAATCTAACAAGACTACAGGGTCCACATTACAGCCACGCTGGCAGCTCTGTGAGTCTGCACGTGGGCAGAGCGGTCACTGAATATTAGCATTAGCGCTCTAACACACTGACAGTTAGATATGCTCAATATATGTGCGTAGCGTTTTAGCATAATTAAGCAGAGGGATTCATGCTGTTACCTGTGAAAATTCTTCCTGACCTAGTATTAACTGTTCATCCTGCCCTGCGTGACTTTCACCCACAGGCTGTTTGAATTATTATGCAATAACCCTAACCCCTAGGTCTAATCCCACGCTTTAACTACGGCCGTCTGGCCTGTGTAGAGATAGAGGTTAGAGGTCAAGGGTCAGCGATCTGAACAGGAAAGGCTATTCACGCAGAACAGCACATCGTAAACAAACCATTACACACCATCTGCAGGGGCGTCAAATCCCGGAGCAGCGTGTGTGTCTTTGCTTGTTTGTGTAGGTGTGCGTGTTGGTGTCTCTGTGATCACACCCACAGACACGCAAGTGAGGATCAACACAGCCAGACGGGGACAGAGAGGTGACAGAAAGTGACCATCTGGTAGCCACTGAGGCATCAAATTACCTTCTGAAAGGTTACATTAGCATTATGCATATACTGTGTGTGCCATAATGACGCTTTTAAATAGTTCCATTATCGAACAATTATCTGCAACCCAGTTAGAATGTGAGGAAAAACAATTTGTGGTTTAAATGAAATATTTAGACAGGAAGGACGGCCATGAAATTTTCCACAGATGATTTGATGAACCCTGTAAACATCACTGATAACCAAATCTATCTACAAAGGGCTAGCAGCAGGTCACACTTTACTCTTACCTTTATTAAATGTCTTATCATCTGGAGGACAGATTAGCACATTCATGATGAATCCTGTTGTTTTGAACATGGAGTGTTTTCCTCTAATACCGCAATCAGATTGAGTTCTGTGGTTTTGAGAAAAATGTGTCACCCACTAGAGCCAGCAGCTTTGTGTGGCTGGATACATAATTCGCATATTTATGTCTCCCTTGGGGTAATTTTTAATCACTCTGGTGATTCCCTTGATGTTTTGTCTGGTGTATAACAAGGAAAAATTCCTATTTATGTACTCAGGTTGACTAAATGCTACAACACTAAATGATTTCCCATCTGTTTCAGCTTTGCTTTGCATCAGGCTCTTTGTCTTTTCCTCTCCGCACATCAGCAAATATGAGCGTCTTAAACTGAGATGCATTACACAGCAAACTTTATGCTTTCTTAGGGTTGGCATGCTGGTAGCATTTAGCCCCAAGCACCACTAAACCTCACAGAGCTTCTAACATTGTTGCTACACATACCTTTACAACATCTAAATGGCCAACCTCTTAATTATGCGATTTTCTTCCTTTAACCATTAAGCTTTGAAAAGACTCTCATGTCTTCATTCATGTTTGTTCTTTTTTCCCTCTTCACCCCTGCTCATTCACAGAGCTTTCTGCTTAATTACATCTACAGCGGAGTTGTTATATAAACAAGCACCTTTTTCCTCTTGCCAAATCTTTGTCTCTTTAGCTGCCACTTTTGTTTTCCATCAACCCTTCAGTTTTTCAACATCTTCCTCACCGGGATCCTTTGTACCTAACCTTTTAAAAATATAATCACATTTTTTGTTACTTTTCTCAATTCTTGCAGTTCCCCTTCAAAGTTTCCTCTCCTCTCGTCCTCCACCCACACCTTTCACCCTGTCAACACATATCTGCTCCTTTTGTCTCTGTTCCTCTTTTCTGCTGTTTTCCTCAAGATTCTCCCTGTTTCCTCTGACGGCTCCGCTTCCCGTCTGTGTCTTTGCTTGATGCTCAGCATGCCCTGCATCCCTGTCGCCTAACCACCCTTCCTTCATCTTCGTTCTTTCTTCTGTCCGTGCTGCCATCATCACAGGCAGTCAGAAATGCCCACTGGTCTAACACCTGCCGCTCTGAACACACAGCGCGTGTGAGCTTACGAGGTTGTGTTTGTCCACGCCTCTGAGTATTTATGAAAGATCATGAAAAGAAAATGTCGATTCGTTATGGCATGTGTGCATGTCTGTGTTGTTAAGTGTTGAACTCAGTCTGTTTTTTGTACCCTACTGGCCTGACGTAGAGCCAGACTTCTGGATTAGACGTGGATCTAGGCTGCTTGAATTCTATTCTGAGATCCCCAGAAGGAAAAGCCTGTTAAATTAGCAGCTATAAATACAGGACTTCCTCCCAGCAGGTCACTCTAAGACCTACTGCACCGACCTGGACAATTTCTTTGCTCCCTATGCATGTGTGAGTGTGTGTTTTTATTTTTAAGCTTACGTCTAGTGCTGCATGTGTGGTTTGTGGCATTGCTGCTAACAAGGACACTGGCCTTTCACTCTTTAAGAGTCACTCCAAATTTCTTTTTTCCTTTTTCTTGCTTTACCCATATAACATAAAAAAGATCCAGTAATTTTATCACTAACTTACTCATTGCCTGCATTCACATATAACCTGTAACCTATGATAAATAAGTGAAATGTCTACATTAGGCATCTCAAGCATCAAGAACACTTGGTATTATGGAAAGTTTGGCATAAAATGTCACATTTTACTGCAAATTCTTTTGTTTTTCACATGCATTTTAATGCTATGTATAGTATTGTGCAAATGTCTTGAGCCACTCCCTTTTTAAAGTGGTCCTGGGCAATAGTTCCTTCAGCTATTTGTTTATTTTCAATCAATTTTCAATGTTAATATTTTTTTTATATCTCTTCATGGGACAACACTGAAGATATGTAAAGTAGTCAGTGTACAGCTTGTATAACAGTGTAAATTTTCTGTCCCCTCTAAATAACTCAACACGCAGCCGTTATTGCCTAAACCGCTGCAAAGTAAATGCTCATGAAACAGTGCTTGACCTTGAAAATTAAAATTTCCTCTTGTACCTCATAGTCATCCAGTTGATAACTGTTATGTTTATACTGTTGTTATAATTTGATCACCTTGATTTTTCAAGAGTGCTGTAATTGTTTTTGGGGCAGTAAAAGCGTTCATTTAATGATGGAGGCTATTTGTTTAGCCACGTTGTGTTTAACAGCTGCAGTGTAGATTGTGCATGACTCTAGAGTGATCATTATCTCACTGCTGTGCCTGATAGTTCTTCTGTTAGAGTGTTTCTGTGGAGAAATCTCACATTCATCCCTTTTTAATGTGATATCCTGTTACTGTAAGGAGTAAGGAGCAAGTACTGCTGGAGCGCTTATGACAGACAGTGTTTTTGGTGGTTTCTTCTAGGCAAGGAGTTATTTAATTCATGTATGATTTATAATTTCTAGTATAGCTTTCACCACCATGCAGAAACAATGTGGTCATATCCTAAGAAGCATTTATTTCAGTGCAGCGGTTAACCACACAAAACCTCAGGTTGTAGTGCAGTCCAGCGAGAATCTGCGTCCAAATGTAAACTTTCCCATTGAAATCAAATTCACTGGCTCTCTGCTGAACAAAAGTGACTTATTCTTAAAGAGAGAAAGAGAGAGAGAGAGCCAGGTAGAAAGGAGAAAGAGCATGTGGAGGACAAGAAAGAAAAGCCGATTGAGGACGGTGGAGTGGAACGGATGGGGTCTAAGAGGAGGTGAATTATAAAAGCTTAAATGAAAAGAATAAAAAATTCATAGGAATCAGACAGAGAGAGAAGATAAATGAGTAATATTGGAGTAGCGGAGAAAGGACGAGGCATTTATCAGGCAGAGAGCGCTCGGAGCATTAGAGGTTATATTTGAGGACAGCGGATTCTTGTTAATGTATCGCCGGAGATGGCGAGCAGACACGCTCTCACACACGTGCTTCAGCAGTCAGGGAGAGGTTGAACACCATCTGCTCAACAATAAAAATAAAAATAATAATAATGATAATAACAGATTGTTTTCAGTTTAAAGATAACCTTACTGTTCTATACTTCTTAACTGGAATTTACACAAATGCTCTTGCAGGCCGGGTGGATTAGCATGAAGTTGTCATTTCTAACCCTTTTTGTGCCTTTATTTCTCCCAAAACATCATTTTTTAAAATGTCTTATCAGTGAGAAGTGAATCTATTGTGTACCTCACTTTCAAATGGGTCTTCATTACTCATAAATGCCTGTTGTCCCGCTCTCGTCTTTGCAGGACAGCGACATTCAGAAGAAGATTGATCATGAGATCCGAATGCGTGATGGAGCCTGCAAGCTGCTGGCTGCCTGCTCCCAAAAAGACCAGGCTTTGGAAGCGGCAAAGAGTCTACAGACATGCAGCACTCGTATCATGGCCTACATGTCAGAACTGCAGAGGATGAAGGAGGCTCAGGTCATGCAGAAAGTCACACGCAGATCATCAGATGCAGGGCCGATGGACGACAGGCTCCCATGTAAAGGAAAAGTCGCCATCTCAGGTGAGAAATAGACAAAAGCGTTTATTTCTGAGAGAAAAGTGATAGGAGAAGGTTCAGGGCGGAAATTTTCCCAGCATTTTGGAAGATTTTGAGAAAGCTTTTAAAGTTATTTTATCATTTAAATGTGGCACTGTTGTTGCCAAGAGACTGTGACCAGCAGTAAAAGGAGGAAATGGATCAAATTTAAGCTTCCTCTTATTGCTGTAATTTAATGCCGAGCTGCTCTCATCAGCCTTTAATAGCGGATGTTTCATTTTTAAATTACTTTGTACTTTCTGACTTGCTGCTGTCCACCACATTGATGAAAGATCACTCTGGAGATCAAGACAGTCAGATCAAATTTTACTGTCATCTTGTCTACTTGTAGAATGCAATGTAAGTAAACAAAGACATTTTGAAAAGCATTATTGTAATGATTTACACATTCACCCAGCAAGCGAATGATCCGTGATTCAGTCACGGGATGTGGCACAAATGCCTTTGCAGTTGCATCAGGAAGGGTAAAAATCTGCCAAATTAAGCATGCGGTGCTACCTGCTATGGTGACGCTTTGTGACTAAGGGAGCAGCCAAAAGAAGCTTATTGAGATTCTTAAGAATAAAAATCCTCCATATTTTTACACTTAAACTCTGTGACAATAAATTGCATTATTCCCAGTAAACCGGGGCTTCATGCAGCCCCTCAGTTCATCAGTTCAGTTCTGTCTGGAACAAGTTATTTTAGCTCCTGTCGCTTTAAGGCTCCCTGCCATAAAATTCCACATTATTCCAACTGGCAGTCCCTCATAAATGGAAGATTTGAACAGCAGGCGAACTTTCTGTGCACGTTTGGAGCTGTGAGATGACCGCATTAGCGACATCCTCTTTCTTTTAATTCATTTAGACCCCAAAACTTGTCTGCAGCTGAGCGCTTAGTGCAACCTGAAGTTTGCACTAGTGATTGGTGCCTTGTTTGCGACTTGGTTAATATGAGCATCCGTTGTTATTGCAGGATATTTACAGTCATGTGGCAAAGAAACTCCCATGATTCAGTAGCTTGTGGAATCACTTTTAGCAATCCTATTCTGTGTTATACAGCTATGTGTTTTTCTCCTGACAACACTTCCAAATGAGCTATACCTGTTCAGTCTTTCTCAAATTTTAAGGTTATGAACTTTGACATTTAAGATGTTAACTGTGGCCTGTAGAGTCTGAGATGCAGCTCTTAGGTATTTTCCAGTTTCTGTCATCATTGCATACTCTGACCTTGGGGTGAATTTGCTGGGACGTGCAGTCCTGGGAAGACAGTGGTTGTGTGTTAGCACACACCCGAAGGCTCCAGACCTGCAAACTGTCTAAACTTCTGTTTTCATAGAGGCATCTACACTTGCTGATGGTTAACTAATCAAGTGCATTTGATTAGCAGCACCTGACTGCTACTTATCCTCCTAATTCCTATGACAGCAGTAAGGCTATACTTTATTTTTCACGGGACTATTGAGGGTCCTGTGAAAGCTTTCTTTTTCACATGACTATAAAGAAAGGCACAATTGGTCCTCTGTTGTCTAATCTTCAGCCTGTTGTCTTTACAGATCTTCGGATCCCTCTCATGTGGAAAGACACGGAGTACTTCAAGAACAAAGGAGGTGAGAAGTCGTGTGTGTGTGTGTGTGTGTGTGTGTGTGTGTGTGTGTGTGTGTGTGTGAAGAAAGTCATTGATGACTTGTGAATGATTTATACTTCCAGTATTTATTAATAATAAGCTTCTGTGGAAAGTAGCCCTCGGTTGCTTCCGCGGTTGTATCTGAAATCCTTGAAATAATGGGGCGGGGAGATGTGAGATTCATTGAGACTCTAGAATGAAAATGACCTTTTATTTCTCGCTTCCGGGTGAAAACGCTTACATGGACGGATTGCGGTGTGACATGTTCTCTGCTCTGTACCCATTTTTACACCCCAGACTCCAGACAGTGTGGCAAAAATCCATCTGTACAAAGTTGCCCTTTCTCACATCCAGCACACAACAGGAGGCTCTGTGTCAGATGAATTCTCAACACTAGAAATATGCTATTTGCTGCTTTACTCAGTGGGTTGGGTATGGACCACACACTCACTCACTGTGATTTCTCTAGTCAGTGATCTACCCAGTTCTCACATGGGCTCAATCAGACATTAATTACTAGACTACTTACTGGGGGAGTTCACACAGTGAAGGCTGTTTAATTTCCAATTCAACTGATTCATTTAATATTGCCTAGAAACATTCAGGGGTGCAATGCATGTGCAAAAACGACTTTAGTCGCAGCTGTTAGAGATGATCTTCACAGTCATTGGGAGCTTTTTTGTTTTTTTAGCTTTATCTCTCTACTTTACTCCTGGAAGCACAACTTGACCCACTGTCCTGTCTGGATTGCTTTGCCTCCTGGCTATTACAAAGAATCACGAAGGCAATGAAGCGCTTCATTCTTAGTAGTGATGGGAGAACTGTAAGCCAAAAACAAATAAAATCTGTGGTGCGTTTAAGGATCCACTCTAGTTTTCTGTCTTATGGAATATTCCTGTGAACCTGCTCGTATTAAATTGTCTTTGTGATAAAATTCAATAGAGCGCTGAGAATCTAACAATGGAAATTTTTTTATATTGGCCATTTTCTATCCCACCTGCTCTAGATAAATTTAATGTATGTTAACCTCCATACTGTCATTATAATAGTCTCAGTGCTCAGCCTCTCCCTTGGCAACCCGAATGAATTAATCTGCGTGACCTGTGCATGGAAATGAACTCTTGAGACAGGTAGTAGTCTCTTAACAAAGCTTAATGAGGCTGCAAGTCAAGGTCATTAAGCACACAGAGACATAAACTGAGGCAAGGAGGAGCAAAGTGTGTTCCTTTCTCATTTGTCCAGTCAGATTTTAGTGAGGAGTGTTGATTTCATACTTGGAATAGTAATTGCGCAATGAAGTGTGGGACATTAGGTGTCAATGTGCCGTTTACATGGAAGCGCGAGTAGAACTTACCAGTGCCAGTTATAAAGTGTTTTATGAGGAAGAAATACAAGATTATCCCCAATATGAGGTTGTGGGGTGAAGGTGCGATCATAGGGTTCTGGGAATCTTGGGAAATTCAAATTTTCCAATCTTTTCTTTAATGTCAAGTCCTTGCTCACCTCTAGACCAATTTCAGTGCTGCTGCTATTTTTAAATTGTTTCGTGTAAGCTCGTTTTGTTCCCAGAGGCACTGGTGCCTCTTCGGTGCTCACTGGATCTCCTCTAGTGTGTAAGAGCGGCAACCCATCCACTTTTATTTTTGAAACGTGGACATCGCTCAGACGCCTCAATGGACACAGCCCTTAGGAATTTGACAAAAAAAAAAACCACTCATGTGCTACTCTTGAAATAATTCGGCACTTCTTTTCTTACAGAAAACTACTGTTTGGTCTCGCTGACCTTAGGCGATCATTCAAAACAACAAACTGTTCCGTCTCAAAATAGCGGCAACACTGAAATCAGTATATCAGTGTACAAGACGGTGACCTTTAAGTGGAGATTGGTCAAATTTTGATTTTTATGGGTAGATTCCTGGAACTTTCTAATCAAACTGCTTGAGAAGAAGAGATTAGGCCTGTCTGCCCCGAGTCTGTCTGCTCCATCTGTTGTAGTTTCTTTCATAATTTCTCACTGGTGTTATGGAAATGATGGTTTTCTTAGACACAAAGATTTCAGGGTTTATCTATAATCACAGTGAAACCTTCCCTAAAATATAATCTTCACATACACAAAGATTCCTGTAGTTTAGTTTCAAAATACTGTTCAGTATTTCCCAGGAATTCTTAGCACAGCTGACCATTAAACTGAAACCAACAGTTTAATGTTTGCTGCATTGCCATTTTGGCTCTGATTTTTAAAGTGATGCAAGTAAATGAAAGCTGCTGAAGTGTTTCAAAAATGCACTGTTATGTAGAAGTGTTTCCTCTTCTTCTCTTCTGACTTTCTACATTTTCATTTGTAGAGCTTCATCGATGTGCGGTGTTCTGCCTGTTGCAGCTGGGAGAAGAAATCTTTGATACAGACATGGTGATAGTAGACCGGACACTCACCGATATTTGCTTTGACAACACTATCGTATTGTAAGTCACCTGTCAGTCCTATAACCGAACAGCCATATAATCTGTGACCATCACAGAAGACTGTAGTAAAACCAGTAGTTTAATATTGTATCAATATGGTTTTGTAATGTTGTACATCCAAAGTTGAACAATTAGTAAATGCACTGTTTGATACACTGTAAGTACCAATGAGAAGGCGATCTATAACACCTGATTGTTAAGCCAATTTTATGTTCGGTATTTAGAATTCAAATAAATTTAGTTGGCAAGTAACTGAAAGTGCAATCCAGTACAAACTACAATCGTTTTGCCAGTTCAATTTTATTTATGTAACAGTTGCCTCAAGGTGCTTCATATTGTAGGATTATCCTACAATACCCTAGAGACCTAAAGACCCTACAATAATACAGAGAAAACCCCAATAATCAGATCTCCCCCTACGAGCAAGCACTTGGCAACGGTGGGAAGGAAAAACTGCCTTTTAACATGAAGAAACCTCCAGCAGAACCAGGCTCATGAATACTGTACAACATTTTTGCGCAAAATATTATACAAGAGAGGTATAAAAGAGCACACATGAAGCACATAGGTATGTGAAAGTAAGCACTGTACTCGAGTGGATGCACTTAGTTACTCTTTTAAAATGACCCTTAAAGAGATGGTGATGATGAGCATTTTCTCTTGCAGTAGTGAAGCCAGCCCGGGTTTCGAGCTACGGGTTGAGTTGTATAGCTGCTGCTCAGAGGACGACTATTCTGCAGGCAGCACACCAAGGAAACTGGCCAGCAAGCTGAGCTCTTCACTGGGTCGATCAGCTGGGAAGAAACTCCGGGCAGCCATGGAGCCTGGACCGTGTAGTCCCGTAAGCAACGGAGGGGGAGCCCCTCTCCTGCTGCCAGTTCCCTCTGTACCGTAAGTTTAGCTTCATATAATATCTATAGTTTTTATACAAAAACAGAAAATGGATTGGAAATAACTTGTAATTTCAGAGAGCAGATATTTATTGAGACCATCGCTCACTGCAAACATGCATACTCAAACACCAAATTAAATTCTTCTCTTCACTCTTGTGTGTTGACAGGGGCCCGAAGTACCACCTCTTAGCCCACACCACACTGTCACTGTCACACGTCCAGGACAGCTTTCGCACGCATGACCTCATCATTTCAGGCAACGGTGAGTGGCAGCCACCATCAATCTGTGTCCTCGCCATCTTTCTGCTTCCTCTGCCAAATCGGCCATCTGTCTATTTTTCGTCTTTCTCTCACTCGTCACCGCCTCACTTCTTCGCCCGTCATTCTGATCATTTCCTTTACACCAGCATATGGTGCAGCTATGCCTCCTCCTCTTTTCCTCCTCTGTCCTCCCACTTTCTCTGACAGGCAGCCATTGTCAAGGTCACAGTAATAAAGGCTGCGCTAGTGAGGTGACTGCTGTGTAAAGCTGTAATGATGCTGGATAACAAGGGTCCAGACCCTAACACAGACAGGCCTCTAGTGTTTTATTCATTGGCCCTGCAGCCTGCTGTAAAGTTTCACTGCCAAACTGCATGACACTCCCTGCAGCTGCCATCCTTTTATACCCCAGTGTGTGCTAAAGGGGGGACGGTGTGACGTGAGGATGCAGTGTGTGTCGGTTTGTGTGTGTGGATGCATGTTTCTGTGTGGAATTTTAATGGCATGGGAATATTTTTATTTATTTATAGTGTTTATGTTTCCCCCATCCATCTATTCCCTCCCTGCAGAAGAGTGTTCGTACTGGCTGCCACTCTATGGTAGTATGTGTTGCCGCCTCGCAGCTCAGCCTCACTGTATGACCCAACAGATGATGAGCGGGTGCTTGAAAGTTAAGGTAAGCTGGCAAGCCTGCAAATGTGCGTTGCTGCAAACTATTCCTCCAGGGGTTGTGCTAGATTTTTTGGCATATATCCACACTTTTTATTCTTTTTCTCCCCTACCACATTCCTGTTCTCTCAATCTCATGTTGTCGTCTCTCTTTGTGTGCGTATTTTTTGCTCCTTTTTTCCATTTTTTCTTTACCTAGCAGCAGTGTGGAGGTGACCCTCAGAGTTGGACAAAAGTTCACGCCGTTCTCAAAGGAACAAACCTTTTCTGCTACTACCGGCAAGAAGATGTGGAGGCTAACGTTGAGCCAGCTTTCACTATTGGCATCAACAAGGTCAGCAAAGAAATCTGAAAGGCAGTATATTATCTCTTTGAGCTCGATCCAGCCTTAGAGAAGCAGTAGCTGCATATTTTTGGTAACACCTTAGGCATCAGAATAGATGGTAAGAAAACAAGCTTGTGGATTACCACACGTTTAAATAACAAGCTCACTGGTAGACTCTGAGCCTAAAGAGAAAATTTAGCTCTTTTCTTTGCAGCGGTTCTCAAGGTTTATTTTAAAAAGCCACCCAGAGCTGTCAGAATCGAGCTCCACTGAGTTCATGAGTACCAAACTGTGGTTGTGTTTGTTACCTTTTGAGGTGTGACTATAGAAACGTTCATCAGGCCTGTAAAGGCACATTTCTACTGCTCAAAGCTTTGTATACACAGGAAGACCCCTCTATCCAATTGGAAGTCATAATTCTCTCTTGCCATCATTTTTCCCTGCATCAAATAAAGATCAGTCAGCTGGCCAGTCACGCTCTGAATCATCTCATTTCCTGTGTCTTTAAGAGTCGATTCCTAGACTGCTTCACAATCTTTCTGTAGTGACGCACTCGGTCTTTTGTGTCCTCTGACCTTGAGCATGCTGATAACCTAAAGCCAAGTCAATCAGATCAGGTCTGTATCATCTTTTGTGCGGCTCACATTAGAGGAGACAGAAAGAGGGAGCGCAGCATGGCAAAGGCGTGAACAGGACAACACTGCCATCTAGTGGTCATAGCCATACCTAGCCATATTTAGAGTACAGCAAGTTATGGGAATTGGGAGTCAGAATCCTTTTGTTGGATAATTGCTGGAGGGAAATGGTTTGGAAGAGCACTAATTGGTGACTTTATTAATGAAGGCTTATTTTCAGTGGAGACTTATTCATTGAACCACACTGTACTTCCATTCGTTCCCTGTTGTAGACATTTTTGCGGTAGATGATTGTATTCTTTGCCACTCCTGTGTTTCAGGAGACCAGAATACGTGCATCAGAGAAAGACCCTCTCAGTAAAGTTCAGAATATCTGCATCAGCAACCATTACGGAGGGGAGGAGGTTACGCACACTGTGACCACAGACAGCCGCGAGGAGACACACCGCTGGATGGAAGCCTTTTGGCAACATTTCTACGATATGAGTAGGTCCTTATGTGTCATTTAAACCCGCAACATGTGGTCGTTTAACATATGTTTTAAAGGACAGCATATAGTGCCGTATATTCTCCATCTGCTGCTTGATTTGTTGATGGTGACGTTTGCCTCCAATGTACAGGCCAGTGGAAACAATGCTGTGATGACTTAATGAAAATTGAACTTCCATCGCCGCGAAAACCAGCTCCTATCACACCGAAACAAGGCTCTTTGTATCATGAAATGGGTAAGAATTCTCCTTGTGTCAAGGTGTTTTTTGGTCACTTATAACCTAATGTGAAAAATAAAGCACTGTGCATTGCATGTGGCTGTGTTGAATTTCTGTTTCTTGAGTGCACGTGCATCAAAGATGCTGTCAATTACGTTTTCCTATCCGATTTCTCAAACTCACTCTCTGCTTCACTTCTCTGTGCTCTAAATAGAAGGGTTCTTATCTCTGACGTGCTGACTAACTTGTCTTCTGTTTCTCTATTCCTCTTTTTCCTTTTCACGTTCCTTTGTATGTCATATCTATCCTTCCTCGCCATTTCCTGTTCCCCATTTCCCTTATTTCCGTGTGAAATAACGTAAAATTAATTTCATCACGCTTTTCATAAACTTTCACCGTTCATTGTAATGGTTGAATTATCTTGATGCATGAATGAAATCTTTCTTTGTTTTCCCATCACTCCTGTTTGAATGAGCGTGTATCCTTTTCCTTTTTTTGTCATGTCCATTAAAATTGCCAAACTACCAACTTTTCCCTCATCCCCGTCTCTGCTCTATCCCAACTCTCTCACCAACTTCCCTGTTGATTTTCCTAACCCTGGCAGCTCCTCTTGCCACACCCTCCTGTGAGGGTCTTCTGCTGCAGGATAACGCTGTGTCTGCTGAGATTCGTGCTCTGCTCTCATCCTATTACAACGACAGGTGAAGTAACAGGACTAGGACTCAACATGAATTGGTTTGTGGTAAATGTTGCAATCCCAAGAGGCTGGACTCTGCATTCTTAATAGAATTATGCAGTATTGTAATCTGCATGAATTGGAAAGATGTCATGAATACACTCAAAATGTTAAAAATATCCTACAGTAATTGCTATCTTTAGCACTTGTTCTAAAGAAAAAACCCTGCAATTTAGATTTAATCCCAGGAAAAACTGATCAGTCTGTAAAACTGGTCTCAGGTTTACTCCATGGCGGCATACTAATAAGATTTGCCGCTTTTCTCTTGCAGTTATTGAGTCATCTGATGACCTCAGCAGCAACGTGTCAGACATCCTGGCTCGGAGAATGCAGGAGCTGGAGCTCCGTAGCCAGCTAGGCACCTCTCCCACCTGGATGTCTGCGTTTGAGGAGAGCAATGCCAGATGTACTGGCCGCTCTCGTCACTGTACTCGCATGTCTGGCCACAGCCCCTGCACCCCTCATCGACTGCCTCGGAGTCCTGTGAGTCCTCACCGCTGCCCACAGCTCGGCCTGCTGTCTTCAGACGCAAGTCTGACCTCAGATAGCGACAGCCACTGTAGCACCAGTCCCTGCTCTCACCACCACGGCTGGCCTGAACCTACTTCCAGCTACTCTCTTTTGTCATCTTCCCCCTCGCGTCTGAGGCCACGCACTCTTTCTTTGGATGCTAAGCTCAGCACCCTTCGAGGGAGAGGGTATGGAGGTGGAGGGACCTTCCAGTGTTCCTGCCAGCCGCCTCCCTCGTCCCTGCTTGCTCCTCTCCCCATCTCCAGTCGCTCCCCCCGGTCAAAGCACAGCACACAAACCACGCTATCCTGCTCCAGCTCCACCTCAAGCAACAGCTCCAGCAACAGTGAGGGCAGCCACAGCCCAGAGTCATCAGAGGGAGGCCCCTTCTCTAGGCCCTCCCCAGCTCGACGCAGCCTAAGAAACCTCAGGGCCAGACTTGATCCTCGCAACTGGCTCCAGAGTCAGGTGTAAACTTCATTTCTGACAGTGTTTTTTTTGGGTTTTTTTGCTTGCCTAAAGGCAACAGTGCTTATTAAACCATGGTTTAATTAGCTTAACACACGTGAACCAAACTCAGGCAATCTGCGATGCCACATGCACAGCCCTGAGAAGGATGCCTCCAGCTTGCCTCTTGGTGGAGGACGAGCCATGGAAGACCCTTCTTGGGCGAACTGGAATGTCTTCTAACACAAAAGACATGTGACAATCACTGCAGGAGTCTCTGACATTTGCTTGGTTGCCACAGTGTTTCAAAACAGTCCAAAAGTATTTGGGAGGTACTCTACTTGCTTTGAGAATTGATGGTAATGCTGCTTGGAAAAAGTTGATGCTAACAGATAAGGGCATGCTCAAATTCATGCCACACTAGGTCTACTTTCTGTCTTTGAAAATCTGATTTTGAAACTGGAAAAAATAAAAACAAAGTAAAAAAAAAACACACACACATTTTGAGTGGCCAGTGATCTTGGCCACTCAAACATGTCTGTTAATGCACTAGTCGTATTTTGACTGGATGTTTCCTGTTATGTTCAAAAAGTTTGCAGTGTTTGCAGTATAGAAGCCAGTTAGCATGAGGTAATATGAACACACCAGTCAAGATTTTTCCAATATTAGAGACTGCTATGTGTAGAGGTAAGGGTTATTTGTCGCCTGTACTGTGATACTTGTTTCAGTCTACTTATTATTCATTGCTATTTGTGGGGTCTCCCAGAACGACTATGCACCATTTTTGTTTTCATGCATGTTTTGACTTGCAGTTAAAATATTTCTTCGTCAGATCATTTCAAATGATTCTGCAAGTGCTCATACTTACTGTACTAGTTACGACTGTGATCTCTTCAGGGTAAAAAATCTGTGCTCTCCTCTTATCTGCACACTATTGACAGGCTGCCATCAGACTAAGTGATAGATTTGAAATAGATAGTATTACATCACACAGTAATAGATCACACAGTGCAACTCCTAAGCAAACTGATTATAACCAAAGCTCAATTATTATTGAAAACCCAAGCCATACTAATCTGCAGCATTGTTTGTTTTCAGTTTCCAATCCTGCCGTCCAGCGATTTATTATCACACAACAAAGAAAGAAAACTGATTTAATCTTGGCGAAATTCTAAAAAAACATTCTAAAAAAAAAAAAAGTGTGCTTACATGAACTCTAGTCAGTCGCCTTTTTAATGATTTCTTAACACTGCCGCCAACTTCTTGTTACATTTTTGCTAGTTAGACAGTCAGTGCAGTTTCTTCTTCTTACAGAAAACCTTATAGGAGGGTTGGTGTTGTCAGTGCAGTAAAGCTTTGCCTCTTTTTTTCCCCGTTTCCGTGTTTATTGTGGACTCTGGAAGCCGTTGCCCTCTTGGGGACTCAGAACTCGAATCATTTTTACTAAGATCTGTCGTACGCTGAACGACAGCATTTGTTACTGTAAATTAATTTTTATAAGTTAACAAATAAACCTCCTGTATTTGTTTCTTTTTTTTTTTTGTTACATTACTGAATTTGTTATAAATGCAGCTGTGTTGATATTTGATGATCATAATATTAGATAACGTGCAGATCTTTTAACTGTCACAGATAACATTGAATGTTATAACCTTGGCGGAGTTTCCCGTGTTGGCAGGCTTCGTGTTCTGCATGTATGCCATCCTCGGAGGTGAACTGAAAACGAGAGATGTGGAAATCTCGTGTTTAAATAATATAACATTAAATAAATGTTTTATGAATTAAAAATTGTCTTTTCTTATGTATCAAAATTAACATGTTCTGTGTATATTTTTATGGTGAAATTCTTTAGTAATTCACTTAACTTAAAAATAAAATCTGATATTTCTGTTAGAAGGTTAAATCACGCTACTTTTCTTAATTTTGTACACTAAAAGGCCCCCCAAATTAAACCCTTTCCATGCATTGAGAGAGGTTTCCATCAGATCAGAAAATGACTTTAAGTTCTCTATCCTTTGAACATGTGTTGGATCATATTCCATCCACTTCTGTTCTGCCCCTTTTTCCCTCTCTTGCAACAAATCCCATTTGAGTTCCCCCTGGAGAAGCAAATCCACTTAGAAGCCGCCACAATCTGTGCTGCAAAAGACTCAAAAAGTAGGTAGAACAGAGACTTTTATTGTCTATGTTTCGATAGCAAAGCCGCAGATTAGTCAATAGTACAAAGCACAATTACAAACATCGGAGGTAGTCGACACTGAGTCTTCACTGAGCATTGTAATATGCATAGAGAACACTATGGCCATAATGACTTTGTTTCAAATGTCTCAGAGGAAAACCCAAAGCGCCCTGTTCTGTTTGTAGTGCAGAGTTGTGCTATTGTTGTGCTATTGTAACTTCACGTATGCTTAAAGTATAAAAATCAAACACTGAATTATATTAACACCGACATATACATATTCATCAGCATATAAGACCAGTAAATATTTTTATAATAGGCTTCATATGGTGCTGATTATTCACTTCTGTAACCCAGTAGGGACATTTCACACAAAGTTTGGCAATTACTTGATTTTCAGCTGGATTACATAAGTAAATGGACAGCATTACGTTAAGTTGCAGATAAAACAGAGGTAACCCCGCCCCCACTCTTCCATGTCCTCCATACTAAAACATCTCTCTTTGTGCACTTGCTTCCTGCAGCTCAATGACCCACTCTCATTAGCAGGCACACCGTGGGTTGCACACCCGCAGAGCCACCCCAGCCAGACTCCTCCAGGCAAACGTGGAGAACTTTGCAGGGCATGTTTCAGCCCTGCTGATGTACGTGGAGGCAAGCCGATGGAGCCGCTTCGCACCGAATGCGTTGTAGTGCCCTGGGAGGACTTGGTCGACCTGTTAAATCAATTTTAAAGCCAATAAACATGTATTTTATTTAACAAATAATGTTTAGTACATGTTAAAGTATAGTGTTTTAAGTATTAGCACAGAAAACACAGTTTGTATATGTAGGCTAATAGATACTGGTATGCCAAATTTCAGACATTTTCATTATAAATCTATGAAATGTTGATATACGGTGCTTTGGGATAAATACCCCTGGAAAAAAAGTGGAACTGTGTACTGAAATTGTGAGGCTGCTCTCTAGTGGGCCTTAGAGTTACCTGTTCGCTGTCCACCAGCCCAACCAGGCGCTCACAGCTGCTGATGTAGTCACTGACATGGCTGTAGGGCAGCCAGTCAATCATTGCGCCGTCATACACAACGTCGCCACTGAAAAGCAACTTATTGTCCCGGTCATGAAGGCAAATGCTTCCCCGAGAGTGTCCGGGCATGTGAAGCACAGTCAGCTGTCTATCACCAAGATTGATGACATCACCTAAGCAGGAGAAAGAGAGGTTGAGAAGGCATTAGGTTTTGATAATTATTCACACATACAAACATGGCATGAACCGTAATCACCGGCGACTATGCATTTAAAATCTTAGACTTGTATATAAACTAAATGATAACTCATATTCTGGCTGACTCACGTCAGAGTTATGTTTGTGCTTTCCACATGTCACTGAGTCACACAGATTCTGTGACATTCAGTATATCATCGATTTGGTCGAGGCCAGTTATGAGTTGCACTGGCAAAAAGGGTGAAGTTGATACATCAGGGAATGAGATATACCAGCTGCACTGCAGTAGTGGCTCTGACACAGCAGAACAAGTTACTCTACAATACTGCATTTTGCATTAAACCCCAATGGATATAGCGGTTCAGCAAATACATTATTTATGATATAAGCTTTGTGTATTATTATGTGTGCTATTCTGGTGAATGTGTGCTTTACATAAAGACTCCAGTGACCAGTGCTTTCAAACAATGTATCCACTTTCACATTTATCAAGTAGGTTGATTCAGCTCGCCACCTGCTGATCTCTGACCCACTAATAATAATAATAATTTTTAATAATAATTTTTTAATTTTTAATTCCACAACTGTTTATAACTTGCATAGTTCACATTTCTGTATAGCTGTATATCTTATATTTCTGTATAGTTTTTCATATTTATATCCTGTACATAGCTTGTACTCGCTACAACCTGTACATACTTATAGTTATAGCATATTCATAACATACCTTCATACCGTGTACATTATAACATACCATAACAGACCCATTTCTGTAATATACTTACATATCTATATTATTGCTAATATATATTTGTAATAGATCTATATCATGGCTAAAGCACTTCTGGATGGATGCAAACTGCATTTCGTTGCCTTGTACCTGTGAGATGTGCAATGACAATAAAGTTGAATTCTATTCTATTCTACTATAAAAAAAATTGTTTAAGAAAAGAGAAGACTGTGTGGTTGTTACTCCGTGCAGAGGGATGCTTTCATTAAGTGTGACACCAGTCTCTGTATGCTCTTCTTCTTTCTTGGAAGCAAGAGAATACATCAAAGCCATCACACTGGCTTAAAATAGAACAGCTCTGCAGATATAGAGAATGAGCATATAGTTGCTACCAATGGAATTTTTTTGGTTGTCTTTTAAAGCATACACTTCTAATAGGGAGAAATTGTCTGTACCTGCATTCCTTGGATAGAATATCCTGTTTTATGTAATGGGATAATTGCACCTGTGTAATCACCAGTCCTGGCCTCATGTTGCTGCATTGAACTGGTTCCTCTAGCCTACTTTGTAACTGTAAAAATTACTGGCAGACCGACCCCTTGTCCCATCCCCACTACCTCCATTACATATGTAATACGTTTCGATGTGTGAGCTAGCAAGTCATTGTTGGTCTTCTGCCAAATCGCTGTGCAGAATCTGAGGCTGGAAACGACTCTGTAGAGCGTACTGTGCTCACACTAGGCCTGGTGCATCCATCAAGCCCATTACTGTATCGATTATGGTCCTTGTCACTAAGTGAATGCTTTTAGACCACGCTGGTATTTGATCACAGATCCATCCCTCTAGCCTAAATCAAATCTGCAAGGGTTGTATCTCCTACCTACCCTCCTGCAGTATGTGTGTGGGCTGCACAGCCTTGACTTTGTAGTGCCTTGCCCTCCATCCCGGGCTGGGAGCCTCGGCTATCTCCCTGTCGCTGAGCCAAGTGACCGTCTCGAAGTTGTCTCCGTTGGCCAGGGCATCGACCTCCGCGCTGTGGACGCCCACCTGTTGGAACTGATGCAGACCACCGGAGTGGTCGAAGTGGGCGTGGGTGGCGATGGCAAGCAACGGGTTCTTCCTCTGCGGGTCTTTTCCCAGCAGGCCTTTGGCGTCGATGTATTCAGGTAAGCTCCTTAAGCCCAGACCCGTGTCTATCACCACGTCCTGGTGTGTGCCGCGCAGCAACCAGATGTTGGCTCGGTTCTCCGACTGGTAGAATCGCTCCTGGATCCAGAAGATTCCGTCTCCGAGCGATTTGTGAGCGTACCAGTCGACTGCAGACATCCCAGTTCATTCGCTTGTCGAAGTAGGGTTCAGTATGGTGTCGTACTGTCAGGTGATTTATTGGGGGGGAGAGGTGTAACTAGCCTACCAGCTACAGATGATATGTTTTCATTGAGGTTAATGCGATGGTGGCCGCAGACACACCCTTGTAGGAGGACACTAAGCTCACTGGGCAAACCGATAAACGACGGCAGCTTAACGTGGGTTGCAATTGGCTATACGCAAACCACGCCTCCTCTGTCGTCACGCAGAGGAGGAGCGAGTTAAAGCCACATTTACGCATGCTGACAGTGGCGTATGGCGTGTGCAGGTTTCCAAAGCCGGTGCTAGCTAAGCAGTATAAAGTCTAAGCAGTATCTTCATTAGGTTCAGCTGAAATGTATGTGATTTTTAAGGAGTTGCCGAGGGACAGATAAAACCGGCCAGAGAGGTACATTAAAAAACTGAAACATGCGGATCCAGTAAGAGCTAAATATCGCTGTCCACCTCTGAAGTAGACTGTGCTTTTTTACATTAGGCGCAGTATACTAACAGGCTTCTAGTAAGTATTTCAACATACTATACACGCAGAGTGCGTCTCTGATGCTGACTAAAGCTTCATCGCTGGCAGAGTCACGCTCAAGGCGATGGAAGCTGTAGTACGTTAACTTTCATCAACACGTGTTGACTGGAGATATGTGGACGTGTGTGTGTGTGCAGGAACAGAGGAGACCTGCAGCCATGGCAGGCAAGGGTCGTGGAGTGGGTGCTTTTACCTTCAATATTGACGCTCTGGGCATCGGCAGGGGCAACATGCCAGAAGCCAGGGTGGGGCCCAGTCCTCTGTTTCCAGTAAGTACCGAACACAGTCTTTTACACACACACACACAAGCGCACACACACACAAGCAGTATGTCAGATTGCATTTCAATATAACAAATTCACCTCTAATGCTCAAAAGGGTTGAGGTCAAACTTTACTGGAGTGACTTTAGGAGAGACCTTTTTGAGAGAGGTAGGTGAAATTTGCATGGAATTTGAATAGTAGACTATATACATTGGACGTTTACTTATAATAAGTTAAGGTTTATTCTTTGTAATGAAATTTACAAAACATTTTACTGCATTTGTATTTAAATGAAGGCAGATGAAAGTATATTCATCGTGCTCATGGCCAACATGTGTTTAAGAGTTATGACCCAATGAGTGTCTCTCACAGTGTTCACAAATAAGCACAAAGGGGGTAAAGGGCAATAATGTATGTGCTTATGTAAAATTCATGGCCAGGTTTTCATTGGCCGTGTGTATTCCCAAAGAATATAGCAGATATTTACATTCCTCTTGGATTCTGCCAGGATGCTTTATGGGGATTTTTTTTCTTTTAAACACAGTTTGGACTATGCTATGCTTACAATGTAGTATATTTTGACTATTCATACTGAAAAAGTTGAACACCTTTACATGGCAGTCTGAATTTCAGTTAGATTTGAAATTTATTTGCACTTGAACATCATTAATATCGGCATTACATCATCCGTACTTCTCCAGAACACTGATTTTAAACCAGTTCCACTGAAAGCTGGCGAGGATGAGGACTACATGCTGGCCTTAAAACAAGAGATGAGGGGAACAATGCAACGGCTGCCACACAACATCAAACCTCAGTCCAATAAAGCAGGTGAGGAGAGCGGTGCATTAGAAGCCTGACATCAGCTGAAATGACGCTGTAAGACAGTTGTCTGCTGTTAGGGAAGATAATGCAGCTTTTAGGAACACAGACTTTCAGTTAAGGTCATATCTGGGAAAGGGAGAGATGCAGATTAATGACAGAATATTGAATTACAGATGTCTCATCTTGCGAAACCACAGATTTCTTTTGTCTGGATTACTGGCTTTTTAGAACTCTCCTGTTCCACAGTTAGCTAAATGTAACCATGTAAAGAAGTCAGTGTATTTTATAGGGGGAAGGGGGGGTTGCTTATTCAGCAGGGGGTCTGTGGTGAACATGACTATAGGGAAATTATCTATGAAAAGGAGGTGCACCAAGTTCTTCTGTGCAGAAGCACATATACACACATCATGACCGATAAACAGAGAAGCAGCTGCTGCTTCATATCTACAGCCTCTTCAGCAAGACTCTCATCCCACGGTTGGGCACTACTTCCACTGTCTTAGCTGTTAGACATTGTACTCCATCCTAAACCTGCAGTAAAAAGAGAGCTGGTTGATGGGCTGTAGAGCAGAACAAATATTAAATGTCTTTTAGCTTGATGAGACCAAGGCCTATTAACTTCTCATCAGTGATCATCATTGAAAACAACTAGTCTGTCTTTGACAGGAAAAAAAGGATTTGTTTGACAGGGCTCATTGTATTGACGCACAATGGGAGAGTTGAAGGAACTCTGTGAAGATCCAAGAAGGAGAATTGATCATTTACATAATTTGGGAAAGTCTATTTGAGCTATTTTTAAACAATATCAGATTCCAAGTTTTCCATTTTCTGGAAGAAGATCCGAACTGTTACTCTCAGATGAGAGAAAATTGGTTAGGATGTTCACAACAACCCAAGAACAACCGGGTCACAAGTCTACCGTGAAATTGAAATTACTCAAAGACCAGCCGCTAAAGCGAGTTTTAATTCTTTTGCCGACCACAAAAGAATACCCTGCTCCAAAATCAACAACTGAAATTTGCAGAGGATCACGAGTAACACTGCAGTTTGTGTTGACGCACAATAGAGTAAGTGTTTTTAAGAGTATGACCTTTCTTTTGTTTACATGAAAACAGAAGTGGAGAGATACACCGAGAGATATCTGAAGCAAAGCCAGATTGATGACAATGAATGGACTCCAGGTACGTATGTAACACATCATCATGGGGTTAGGTGGAACACAAAAAAAAGAGGACGATGATAACATTTTTCTTTATTTTTATTTTTTTAGACTGGAACCTTTTTCCAAAAGAACTGATGCCCAGAAGAAAACGACCTCGAGCTAAAACGGGTACATTAGACACAATATGTATGAAATGACATTTCTTTTTACTTTCTTTGTTACTATAAGAATAAAGACCCAATGTTTAACTCCAACAGGCACAAAGAAAAGTGCGAAGATATCACGCAAGGACGCAGAGAACATTCTGACCAAATTAGATGTAAGCTTCATTTAAATTTACTGTCAGTTCTCTCTCCACATCTTTGGTGTTTCTCGTGAGTAATTTGATATTAATGTCAGGAACTGGCAAACAAAGATGACCCTGAAAAATCAGATGAGGAGACTGAAAAGAAGCCGGGAAATAAGGATGAAGAAGAGGAAATTGAAGAGGAAGAATACGAAGAGGAGGATATTGAAGAGGTGCAAATTTCAAGATGTACTGCAAAAATGTGTTACACATAATGATCAATATGTGCAAACTAGATCTGACATTGCTTTTTATCTGTCCCGTGTAGGAAAACGACTACATAGAAAGCTACTTCGACAACGGTGAAGATTTCGCCGCGGACAGTGACGATAATATGGACGCCGAAGCAACATACTGAGCGTCTCTCAAGCAAGGAAGTGCTGAAGTTAAACATAATGTGACTGCTTCTTTTGGTTAAATATTGCACATGAGTTGGGAAAGCTGTTCAGTAGAGTGGAGCGAATTCTTTTCTAATCAAGCTTTCGTTAAAGACTAATGTAAATAAGAAATACTGAAATATTTGCACATGGCAATAATTTATTCAAAATAGATTTATTTTTCATCCTCTAGTCAGGTTTCACAGGTTGAAAGGCACATACTGTTAAGAACACACAATGCTCTGTCATAGAATATCAACTGAACACAGTGATAAAATAAAAGGGCTACATAACAAGTCTAAAAATTGTACATAATTACAAATGCGTTATTGTGGGAATATTGTGCATTTTCCTCACCATGCTCTTATTTATATTTTTGATTCCTAATTGGGGGGGAAAAAACCCCCACAGTTCTTTCAAGCAGGATGGAAATTCAAGAAAAATTCATTTTAACTCCAACTGAGGATCAATACTGGTAGTGTACATAAAAACTGATGTTCAGTCTTCAAATAAATTAATTTTAATTACACACACACAGTGGCAGCAATCCTAACTTTTCCAACAAGTACCATTGGAAAGTGCAATGTAACTAACATGGCAAAAGTTACAGCTCAAACATCTCTTATACAAATCCACAAACTCCCTGGGCAGCATTTGTGTGTAACCGGCTAAAAATTCTCCAGCACAGCTGACTGCAAAGACACCATCTCGAGTTTACAGGAGACACTCAGACCAACTATCAAATACAGTCACTTTTAAAAAGGTTGAAGCAGCACAGCATTGGTCTATCAAACCAGACGTAAATCTTGCAAAGAGTTGGACCCACATTCAGTCTGTCAACTGTATGCAAATGGAGAGACGCAAGTTATGATTGTGGCCACAACTTAATCTTTCAATCCTCCAAAGTTATTGTCTCCTGTATAGTTCAGCCAGATGGATTAGAGTGATGTTTTAAAAGTTATCTGTAAATGGGAACATCAGGATAGTTCTATTAGTTCTCCGAGTTAGCGACACATTTTAGGTGCTATGCTATGTTTTCTCATTTTCTCTATCTCCACCGTCTCCTGCTTTTTCCGCAACCTGTCCCTGCTGAGTTCCATTAACTGCAAGCCTATGTTGAGCATCTCCAGGAATGTCTTTACTCCCGATCGAACCGTTGCCTTGTTGAGACTCATGAGAGAAGCCTTTCTGAGTTTGTGTAGGCATACCATGATGGCTAACGTCAGCTTTCACAAGAACTTCATAGTACAACAGATAAAAGATGGGTGTGACAATGCCGACAAAAAGCATGATTGCCACAGCAGTCCACCATCCCATGCCCCAGTCTGCCCCATAATAAGGATCCTTCCTCTGTACTGGTTTATATCCAGCTTCTCCTAGTAATGGCTGCTGCTGCGTTAAAGAGGACACAACCTCACTGAGGCCGCTCCGAGATGGTCCTGTGGATTTCACCAGCCGCTCAATGTCCTTGTCCTTCTCCATCAGGAATCCTTCCACGCTGTCAGTGGAAGAACAGGAGTCCATGGAGGATTCAGAAGGGAGAGAAGTAATGTGCGAGACCTGAGGCGGGTGTCTAGTGCCTGTGGGCGAGGCAGATTTGAGAGTAGCAGCGTTATGAGTCTCAGTGAGGACACTAAAGCGCCTCACAGGAATCTTAACTGAACGCAGGGCAAAAAAGTCCTGCTCTGTCAAAAGGTTGTTGGCACGCTTGATGTCCGCCACCTGGGATTCACAGGGGGAAAAAAATTAAAAAAATTATAAGTAATTAATAAGCCACTTACAATTTGCTGTCTGTTAAACCTGTACTTGAACTCTTTACATGCATATATAAAAAACACTGATTATAATAAACTTTCCACAGATGTTTGTCAATCTCACATATCTTTTCTAAAAAAGTGCTGCTTTACATATAATAAGAAATCATTTTGAAACATTGTAGTGAAAACTACAATGTTTCAATCTGAAGGTGTTAGGTTGCTTCCAATTCTTTGTTTAGCAAGCAGTTTCAATTTCAGAAATTAATAACCACTATCATCATAAAATAAAGTGAGCAACAGCAGCTTACCTACCTACAACTCACCTGCTTTCCTAGACATATAAAGCAACAAAGCATGTTTCTGTACGTTTCCCACATAAAGAGAAAAGTGCAGGTATACAAAAACAAACAAATGAGGATTTCAGTCCATGCTGCAAAGGAGAGGTAAGACAAACACACAAATCTAAGTAAACACATACTGAGCAATGGTACTGTAGGGCGATGCTGTTCAGAGTGTCTCCCTCCTGGATATCTCTGGTCAAATAGATAATGTCATCCATTCTCTCTTTAGAGGTGCTCCTCCGGAGTCTCTCTCTGCCACGAGGCCGAAGCTCATAGCTTTCCCCATCCTCTTCTGACATATCATTTTCTGAGCTGTTGTTTCCGAACAGATAGGCATGCCCGCCATTGGCAGGCTGCACCATGGTGGCTGACTGGAATCCATAGTGCTGGCTTCTGCTGGACATTTTTCTTCACTGTTTTAGGCAGAAAGAAACAATGGCTCAGAGCACAGGCTGATAGACTGAATCAAGAAAAAAAAAACTTATTAGAGTGTGCATCTTAAAATCTATGGGCTATCCAACTTACTTAACATGTGCTACTGTAGTTCAACAGAATAGGCATTAACATTTTGGCTGTATATACAGAAAACACATCAATCCTGCTATGATCTGACAGATAAGACTGATTACACTGAATGTTTTAGTCTCAACCTATACCACTATGATCATGCTATATGATCAGGCTAGTCAGCTCTCAAAAAGGCTCAGTCAGATCAGATAAAGGTCCACCATATCACAATTGTGAAATAACTGCAAGGCAATACTATGTTATCAGTTTAAACAAGAAGCCGTCTATTTTTGAACCAATGTAAGGCCAGACAACGAGTGCTATGTAAGCAGCATCTAGTGCTGAATGGTTTAAACAACGGGCACACCAGCAATCATCTTCTTATTCAAGTACGCAAGCATGCGATTAACTAACCAAGCTCGTAAAGTGATATGGTGGCTAAAATTTAAGGTTAGCAACTATTTAGCTACGTTGTTGTCTACGAACAGCACAATGCTGCTACACTCTCGCTTTTCTCGTAAAACAACGGTGAGGTGTGGGACGATTATATTTCAGAAATAACTGCGTAAGTTAAGAAACACTTTCTTTAAGCCATTAAACAACTGTCTTAAACAGACTTTCCAGGTCCTCTCCAACAAGAAGCGACCCATATCCACGGACTAGGCTAGTGCTAACTGGAGTCCACATTTATTATATCGCCACCGCTAATGAGCTTTGTGTCCCGTTGATCAGCAGTTGATTAAAATGTCTTTAGGAAATCGTTTACAACTACCTTTGCCTGATAAAGTGAATCCCGATCCCTCAATTGTTCTTTCTACTGTCCATACTTCCACTGGATTCTCCGTGGTCTCTCCCTGTAGTCTGTTTGTTACGTGCCTGCTAACCGCTATTGAACTGCTACCGCTCACGCCACGTCAACACAATATTTACGTAATGACGCTACCACACGCGACCGCAGCGCAACCTTTATTTTTTTGCCGCGAGGTGGCGCCCAGCGTCAAGTAAAACTGCGTGTGCGTGTCGGGAGTGAGAACGGGTTTCTCTTGGCTGGCCTGGAAACGCCTTGGTGTTCATATTCATATTAATATTCTTATTCTTCTATGACAAAAAAGTACAAGTGTTCATTTAAAGAAATAAACAGAGCAGTAAGAGAGGCCGTATCGTTTGTTTTCTGACCTGGGAGTTGGATAGTCCTGGCTCAGGGACTTTTTTGGACGCCCTGTGTCACTACTGCTTCTGGCCTCTTGTTGTCTTTTGGTGTGTTTGGTGTGTTTTCAGAGGTTTCACTCAAGGTCATATTGTTCATTTTCTTAACTAGGAGTCGGATAGTGCTTGGCGTCCAACTTTTTTGGCTGCTCTGTGTCACTGGTGCTTGTCCTGGCCTCTTGTTGTATTTCAGTGTGATTTCAGAGCTTTTGGTATCGCTCGAGGTCGTAACATCCATTTTCTCAACTTGGTCTTGGATAGACCTTGACAAAGAACTTTTTTGGCTGCTCTGTGTCACTGTTGCTTGTCCTGGCCTCTTGTTGTCTTTTGGTGTATTTTGAGAGTTTTTGGTATCACTCAAGTTCATATTGTTCTTTTTCTGAACTTGGAGTTGGATAGTCCTTGTTTATAAAAGTACAACAGTGTACTGTTGGCTGTGAACACCGAGCCTTTATGGGGGCTAAACCCTGCCAAACGTGTGTGTAAACAGCTAGATTAACCTTAAGCCAGATAGATTCCGTTTGGTCTTAACCTCTGTCACTATGAACAGGATATAGTTAATATAGTTTACTCTACTTAAATACAGAGTAAACTGTATTATTTATATTCTGAATTACGTGTCCGTTGGTTACCACTGCTGACCCTGGGATATACAGTATAGCTAAAAAATAGTCTAAGAGACTACGCATAAAGAAAAAGAAAAAAATTGCACAATTCTAATAAGTCTGAAAGTCAATATTTGGTATGACCACATTTCTTCAACATTTCTTCAACATAGCCTGGACTCTCTTAGACAAGCTTTCTTGTAATTTCTTAAAGTAGGCTCCAGGAATAGTTCTCTAAGATTCTTGAAAGACATTCAAAGCTCTTCTTTGGATGTTTTCTGTGTTTTTTCTGTTCCGGGTGTGAGTTTACTGCATGGGAAGTGTGTTTGGTATAATCGTCACACTAAAAAAATAAAGCCGGTGCCAGAAACACTCTTTCCGCACTCTTTCTGTGTTTCATGGTGCCTCAAATTCTGACAGCAGTTCATAACTCCATAAACTTTGCCAAGTTCCCCAACACCATGTGGCTTAAATGCAGCTCAAAAATAATGACAGAGCCTCCACTGTGTTTTACAGATGGCTGGACTCTGTACACACTGAAAATGATTTGAACCAAAAATCCGAACCAAAATGTTTGGAGTAATCACTCCGCAAGACCTGTTGCCACTGATTTTCAGTCTCGTTCTTGTGTAATTTGGCATACCTCAGCCTTTTCTCCTTGTTTTCCTTCCTCATGACTTCTTGACAGCCACCTTTTCCACAGACCATTTCTGATGAGGCTTTAGTAAACAGAAGATGGATCAATCTACGGGCCAGATCCATCTCGAATGTCCTATGTGACGTCTTTGCTGGATTTATTTGTCTATTTCTAAAGGATATGATTTTCAGATACTGTTCATCTGCTGTAGATAATTTTTTTTAGCCTTGCCACTTGTTCATTTTCCTCAAATATTGGCTAAAGATAGAATTTGATGTATTTATTTTTATCCGTTACGTGTAAAGACAACACTGCTTGCTCATTTGAGTTAGTTGCCTGTTTTAACCTTGAATGATTCATAAATCAGTATTAAATGGCTTATCAAATATAATTCCGAGAACATGGACAATGTACAAGGACCGGGCTGAAAATGGGTGGAAAAGCAGCCAATGCCCAGAGAAAAACTTTAGAAAAGCTGAAGAACTATTGCTCAAGAGTACTTAAAATAATTAGTAATGTATAGCAATGAATGAATGGTTTCTATTATCATTACACATAGTGCAATGAAATTGGGTTTGGTTTGCTACTGAGAAAATAAATAAATGAACTAAATAAAAATACCTAAGTTAACCAGAATAAAGCGCATAAATTTTAAAAAACGAGGTGTAGCTCAAGACTTTTGCACAGTACTGTATATATTATTGTATAAAATTGTGTGAACTGGGACCAGCTGTAAATGAAATTCCTCAGGTGCTAATTTGCAAAGTTTGTGGAGAGTATATGTGGCAGACGACAGCGAAGAGGAGAGCGGCTCTCCATGCCTGCTCAGCTCACAAGGTGGAGCTGTCGGCCAGCACAGCGTGTGCACGGTAGTGTGCGCCCTTCAGAGACAAATGGGATTAAAACATCTTGTCTCATTAGCAGCGACCGGGAGACGAGCTCGAGTCTCGGAGTAGCTGTAAAGTAAGCTTTCTGCTCGGACAGCAGGCCGTGTTTGTACAGTAACAACAGCTACAGCTGCCACATGGCCGCAGGAGCCCGGAGTTGTGTGTAGAGAGGAGCAGGTCTCACAGAGCTGTGTCCGTCTCGGCTATTTCAGCCAGCTCCAGTCCCGTTACATGACAGACGCGCTTCCACCCACGTTGTTCACGGAGAGCTAAAAGCTGCCGAGTGGAAGGTTCGGTGTCAGATAACACGAAACGATGCAGTTACCGGCTGCTGTTTGAGAAGACGTGGAGCCGAAGATCTTCGGAGCGCACACTGATGTTATCCACAGAAATAAACATTATAGAGCACAATATTTTGGACTGAGAGGTCAAGCACGGTGTCAGGTAAGTTAACACGATTCGTGTTGTGTGCTTTTACTAAGATTTTTCTGTCTGTCAGTGTGATTTGTGAGTTAAGAACGAGGATGAGTGGCGACCAGCAAAACTTTACAAGATTCATTTCACAAAGAGCTGAAGATGCGTCCGATGTGGTTTCGTGACACTCTTGTATTACAGTCTGTCAGGACAATGCAGCCGTCTTGGATTTATTTCTCAGTAAGCCAGTGAGAAATGACTGGTTCCTCCAGCCGCTAGAGTCAGCGGTGGATTAATAGTGGGAAGGATAAAGGAAACAAATGAGTAGCGATACCCCTCATCAATTATGCCAGACAGCTCAAGCAGACGCATTGTGTAAGACTATAAGAAAACGATTAAAAGTGGTTGGCCGCTGCTAATTTCTTTTTGCCCTGTGCCAAAAATACCCCTCGGTGCAGCTAATAAAATTGAAAAGCTTAAATATTGATTCAGCGCAATCAGTAGATGAATGGCCGAGTAGCCCATTGAGGACGGAGACAAACGCTTCCATGGTTACATCCAGGATCTCCAGTGTGATTACTCCGCTTTGTGTGGGTTTTCGCTCTCCCACTGAAATAAAACAACAACTGCCACACATGGTGAGCCGGGGGACCTTCTCATAGACTGACTAATCTATAGGCTTACTCGGGCCATAAGTAATCTTGGCATACTTTGAGTTGCGCACATGTGCTGCTACTGTTAAAGAAACGAGCGGCGCCTTTAGCCCCATTGTGATACTGCTTCTTTTTTGGGGGTTATTTTACGCAGATGGCTCCATAATTTACACCATTTCGTAGGGTGGGGTTTGCAGACCTTAAATAATTGAACATCTCCTCCTGATCTCTAATTGATTTGACATGATGTCATCTTCGTGCGTCCTTTGCAAATCTCTTTTGTTGCCTCCTCTGTGGTGTGGCCAGCAGAGTTAAATCCTTTTTTCTCACTGGGGAGGAAGGGTGGGGAGCTGTTTCTGTATCCATTCAGCGTCTACACCTGCTCTCCATCAGCTGTTTCTTCTGTAAATCTTTGTAGAAATTAGTAAAATGATTTAATCAATTTTTTCCCTCTTTTTTACAAAAAAGCAGAAGTTGACAGGGGGTTCACAGTTTTATTGTTTTTAACCTCCTCTCTCCATTCTCATCATTAGAAAGTCATATGTCAGAGTGAGTTTGTTTTTGCAGATTGGGGTTCTCTAAGATCCTCACTTGCTCAGAGGTCAGGTCCTTTGTTTGTCGGTGTTTATGTCATTGCCTGGCAGGGGTCAGCCCCCATTCGCCTGTGCAAGGGGCTGAATGTGATTCACTGGGCGGAAACTGTTTTACTGCTCGCCTCTCTTTCCTTCTGTCTCACCTCCCTAATGGCTGCACGGTACAAAGGGGGGCAGTGCCATAAACAGACTATTCATTGATGAAAGGTGTTGGACTGTCGCACGATGCAGAAAGGATGAGACCGATATTTTGTGGGGATGAGAGGTACTCTCGTTTTAGTGTGTGGGGATAGAGCGAAAGAGTGGATGAAGGCACCATGCAACAGGCTACCCCCACCCCCACACACCCCCCATTGAATCACTTGCTTCACAAGATATGTGAAGCACATCTTTTATCTATCTCTCTTTGATTGAATGAAATTTGTGAAGTTTAATTAGAACAATGCATGACGTGAAGGCTACTATCTGTGAACAGATGCCTGTGATCTTGTTGTTTGCTTTTATAAGCAGACAGTATAAAAAAAGTTATTTTGTTTTCATCCACAGTTTTGTGCTTTACTAAACCATCTTTTTGCATGGTAAAAACACAGGATAATAAAGAAATCTGTAAAGAAAAAGAGTGGATTCAGTCAGTATAAGTTAAAACTATTGTTTTATGGTCAGGTTGTCATTTCATCACCTTGAAAGGGCACCGACTTTGAAATGATCACGTCTTATTCTTCACATTGAACTTGGCGTTATGCAAGGATCTGGTGTGAAACATGAAAACAAATTCCTAAAACAGTTGTTAGAATAAATGTTTTTGGGTAAATTTAAAGCTAAAATGCGAAAGGTTTCTCCATACCTTTAGTATCGAAAATATCCAAAAGACATGCAGCTCAATTTAACAATGTTTCCACTAACAATCAAAGACATGACT